TCGCCTGTCGTACATCGAAGCACTGTTCCGGCGGTAGCACTTCCACGCTAGGCAGCTGCGGCTCGTGTGCTCTCAGTGCACCCGTCTCTACCTGTGTTATTGTGCGCGCAGACTACCTGCATAGGAACCGTAATTCTACTGTGGAAACCCCGGGGACAGTCGTTATCATCCCCTATGTGTCAAATAAAATGACACACACATATGTNCCCTATGTGTCAAATAAAATGACACACACATATGTGTTATTATCATCTCCCCCCTATGGAAGATGACAATATATAGAGCGCTCTATATGTTGTCATCTTCCATACATAGTCTCCCCCCACAGAAAGGAGGGGCCCCGTGAATCATCGCGGTGCCCCCTATCAAACGGTTATCTTACCAGTCTGCGTGACACAAAATCATCCAGCACATACATGTATCCAAGAGCAATGTTCGCAGACTCACGAACATGGAACACATCTGAGACAGGTGAGGTCCACATAGAAAGGTGTTGCTGATGGATCTAAGCAGTAGGCAAGGGCTACAGCAGTGCTGTAGTGCGCGGTGCAGCTGCGCGGCAACTTGCTAGCAGCAGGCGGAGTTGTGCCGATATTTTTTTTCAGTGTGGATCGTTGGATCCGCCCTCTGCAACCCACACACCCCTGCAAGATCTATTCCACTACCACTGTAGACTTGACTAACACGGACGGTTGACATACACTACAGCAGCACATGCCCCCTCCCCTTTCCCCGGCGCTCACTGTGTTCCGTACGCTCGAAGTCACTCGAGTTAATGCAAGAGGGACGGCGGCATGACGTGTGTGTTGGGGATGAAACAGAAACCTAGACGGGTTTGGCTGTGTGTCGCACTCTAGCGCAAGCATGCGTGTGTTCGTATGCGGCTGCGCCTCTTTTCTGATGTGATCATTCTCTATCGCCGACAGATGTAGCCGTAGTCTAGTCTCTTCGCCCTTTGCCGATACCCCCTGGCTTACAATGCTGTCGTCCGCCTCCTCTGTAGAAATAGTACACAGACCTAGAGAGAGCGGTACCAGGTGCGCCCCGACCACCTCCCCTACGCTCAACGCCACCTCGGCTACGTACCTTTCCTGGTCCAACATCTCTGTTTTGCAGGTAGCACTCCACAAAGCACCAAGACAATGAAAGTGATTGCGGAGAGCGGACAGAAAGTTGTTGGAGCGATGCGTTCAAACTCGAGAGAAAACGTGACGGTGGTGGTCACCATCAGCGCGGCGGGTGCCACCCTCGCCCCGTGGATCATCTACAAAGGGCAGCGTCTGCAAGCGGACTGGG